CCGAGTTGGGTTGTAGAGTCTAAAAACTTGGGTAGCTTGGAAAGGAGACTGGACAAGTTTGTGGGCAGACCTTCTACAGTGTTCTTTTTGGGGGAAAAGCGATGAAGAAGTTTTTTGGGCAAGTGTTCACTATGTTATAGAAGCCACTATTCTGGTTGAAGTTGTCGGATATGAAATAAGTGTTTGATTCCGGGATTCTTCGTTTTGGGGGTGTTGTCTTCTGTGGCGATAAGTTTTGAGTTTCTGTAGTTTATCAAGTGGTTGTGTGAATTACGGGTTTGTACGCAGGCATTCCTTGTGTCGTCAGACCTGCTTGCGTTTTGGGTGTTCTGAAATACGTGTTTGGGGTCCCTTGATGTTTCGCCCACGAAATAACTTGTTGCAGTCATTAAAAGGGGATTATGTATACCCCGAAAGAGGATGGAGGCTTGTCCGCCTACTACTGGGATTCCTTGATGGTCGTGGTTGTGGAGGTAGATACTTGAATGATTTTTTTGGCAAAGATGTTGGAAACATGTTTGGCAATGGAGTTGGTGGGAAGGACTATGTATCTCTTCTTCGGCAGTGCCCTTCTCTGGGTGTGTTGAAGATGTTTAGTGCTCGCCGTCGCAGTCTCTGATGAAGTGACGAGGATAGTGAGTTTGGGAAAATACCTGTTCAATTATAGTCATTCTTCCTCAAGGAACTCGTTTCTGCAGATTCTGAGTGCACGCAGGAAGAAGCCTATAATTACACCACGTTTGGTTTTTGGGGTCGTGGTGAGAGTAGAATGGAGAAGATTCCGCAACATCAACATCAGAACAAGAAACTTTCCCCGCCTTGACGTGGACTTCCCTATTCACTAAAGTACCTACTAAACAAGCCATCGATCTCTTGCGCAAGAAAATTGACGATTCACTTGATCTTCCCATTCCAGCCAGCGACTTCATCGACCTGGTTGAACTATGTGTTGGCTTTACGTGTTTCTCTTTGAAAATCACCTCTTTCAGCAGACTTTTGGACTACCCATGGGTTCGCCACTCAGTGCAGTCCTAGCGAACCTATACATGGAACATCTAAAGCCGAACGTTCTCCACCATTATTCCTTCGCTGTCACCTGGCTCCGTTATGTTTTACGACATTCTCCTCATAAATCCTAAACGCTTCAACGTTCAAGCTCTCCAAGACAAGCTCAACCAGGTCGAGCCTTCAATCCAGTTCACACTTGAAGAAGAGGTCGACAACAACCCCTTTTCCCTTTTCCTTGATGTTTTACTCCCGCAAAGCTGACCACGAACTTCTTTTTTAAAGTCTATCGAAAACCCACCAACCAAAACGATCTTCTCCACTTCTACTCTCACCACGACACCAAAACCAAACGTGGTGTAATTATGGGCTTCTTCCTGCGTGCACTCAAAAATCTGCAGCAACGAGTTCCTTGAGGAAGAATGCACATAATTGAAAAAGTATTTTCCAAACTCCACTATCCTCGTCACTTCATCAAAAACTGCAGACGGCGAGCACTAAACATTTTTCAACACACCCAGAGAAGACACTGCCGAGAAGAGATACATAGCCCCTTCCCACCAACTCCTTTGCCAAACATGTTTCCAACATCTTTGCCAAAACACATTCCAAGTATCTACCTCCACAACCACGACCATCAAGGACATCACCAGTAGTAGGCAGGACAAGCCTCCATCCTCTGCAGGGGTATACATAATCCCTTGTAATGACTGCAACAAGTTATACGTGGGCGAAACATCAAGGGACCCCAAACACGTATTCAAACACCAATACGCAAGCAGGTCTGACACACAAGGAATGCCTGCGTTAAAAAACACCGTAATTCACACAACCACTTATAAACTACAGAAACTCAAGACTACGCCACAGAAGACAACACCCAATACCGAAGAATCCTGGAATCATCACTTATTTCTATATCCGACAACTTCAACCAGAATAGTGGCTTCTATAACATAGCTGAACCACTTGCCAAGAAACTTCTTCATCGCTATCCCACATAAGAACACTGTAGAAGGTCTGCCCACAAACTTGTCCAGTCTCCTTTCCAAGCTACCCAAGTTTTTAGACTCTACAACCCAACTCGGTACATCATCAGATGCAGCATTCTTCACCTGACCTCAGCCGGACTATAAATACTCGCGTTCCTTCCACCCCAGGTAGTTCTGTTTGTGGCTTGAAAAAGCCCACTGTGTGGGCGAAACGTAGTCAATAAAGGATCACATTATACTGCATTTGTGTTTATATTGCCAATAATAATAATAATGAACATTGACCTGGAGGTGTTTACACCTTCCTCTTCCCTTCATGGAGTGTTCATTTAGGTCTCAAATATTTCCACTGGGATCCTATGATCCTCTCCCCAGGATGCGACTTACAAAAGTCAGCTAGCACCCAGGTACCTACTGGATGAACAAGGGTAAAAGGTTGAAAAAATAAGGTATTACTTATGTGTTTCAGTAAGGCCTTGATAGAGAGCCATATAGAAAATATATATATAAGGGGGATTACCAATAGACTCCTGACTGTCTTCATGAGCTGGACAAGCATCTAAAGTCAGTACCTGACCAACCGGGCACTGGCTCGTACGTTGGTTTATGTGCAGACAGCAGTAACAGCCTGGCTGATCGGGCCCTGATCCACCACGAGGCCTAGTCATGGACCGGGCCGCCGGGGTGTTGACCCCAGGAACACCCTCCAGGTGTACACACGGAATCAGAGAGGAAATAATATCCTGGATCGAGGCACACAACTGCACACCATGAGTCCTAGTCACAGACCGGGCCGCGGGGGCGTTGACCCCCGAAACACTCTCTAGGTATACTCCACGTATGGTTGACAGATAGGCAACAGAGAGCTGCATAAATGAGGAGACGCCACAAGTAATGTTTACAATATAAAGGACATAAATAAAGGAAATAAACACCGTCATAAGGAAGTTTACAGATGATGCTTACACAGATCGTCAAGTGTACTTCTTTTCGCATTATTGTTCTCAGACTGCCAACTGACTGCCCAAGTGATGAACTGGCTAAGATATATATATATGCCTTTGCTAGTTCATCAGTTATATCATGCATTTGAAGACCAATGTGAAATGGAATCCACAGAAAATATACTCTGGCTTGACTGTCTACAATTCTATCATACCTGTGTCTAGCTTCTGACAAAAGCATGCCATGACTGACACTTAAAAACACAAGATTATTATTTATTTTATATTTTATATGAGAGCCGCAGCTGGACATAAGCAGGGGGTACTACACCAAGATATCTCCCTGGTGAAGCATTTAACATCTGTTATACAAATTAGTATCTAACTTAATTTTATACATACCTACCCATGCTGTGGACAGTGGGTATCCCGTACTCATGTTGTGGACACTAGTTATTCCTTACTCATGCCGTGGGCAATAGTTATCCCCACCTATCCTGTAGGCAGTAGTTATCACATACCCTTCCCGTGGGCAGTCATCCCTTACCCATCTTGTAGGTAGTCATCCCTTACCCATCCTGTAGGTAGTCATCCCTTACCCATCCTGTAGGCAGTCATCCCTTACCCATCCTGTAGGCAGTCATCCCTTACCCATCCTGTAGGTAGTCATCCCTTACCCATCCTGTACCTGGAGTTTACCTGGAGAGAGTTTCGGGGGTCAACGCCCCCGCGGCCCGGTCTGTGACCAGGCCTCCTGGTGGATCAGCGCCTGATCAACCAGGCTGTTGCTGCTGGCTGCACGCAAACCAACGTACGAGCCACAGCCCGGCTGATCAGGAACTGACTTTAGGTGCTTGTCCAGTGCCAGCTTGAAGACTGCCAGGGGTCTGTTGGTAATCCCCCGTAGGCAGTCATCCCTTACCCATCCTGTAGGTAGTCATCCCTTACCCATCCTGTGGGCAGTCATCCCTTACCCATCCTGTAGGTAGTCATCCCTTACCCATCCTGTAGGTAGCCATCCCTTACCCATCCTGTAGGTAGTCATCCCTTACCCATCTGTAGGTAGTCATCCCTTACCCATCTGTAGGCAGTCATCCCTTACCCATCCTGTAGGTAGTCATCCCTTACCCATCCTGTAGGTAGTCATCCCTTACCCATCCTGTAGGCAGTCATCCCTTACCCATCCTGTAGGTAGTCATCCCTTACCCATCCTGTGGGCAGTCATCCCTTACCCATCCTGTAGGTAGTCATCCCTTACCCATCCTGTAGGTAGCCATCCCTTACCCATCCTGTAGGTAGTCATCCCTTACCCATCCTGTAGGTAGTCATCCCTTACCCATCCTGTAGGCAGTCATCCCTTACCCATCCTGTAGGCAGTCATCCCTTACCCATCCTGTAGGTAGTCATCCCTTACCCATCCTGTAGGCAGTCATCTCTTACCCATCCTGTAGGTAGTTATCCCTTACCCATCCTGTGGGCAGTCATCCCTTACCCATCCTGTAGGTAGTCATCCCTTACCCATCCTGTAGGTAGCCATCTCTTTCCCATCCTGTAGGTAGTCATCCCTTACCCATCCTGTAGGTAGTCATCCCTTACCTATCCTGTAGGCAGTCATCCCTTACCCATCTCGTGGGCAGTCATCCCTTACCCATCCCGTGGGCAGTCATCCCTTACCCATCCTGTGGGCAGTCATCCCTTTCCCATCCTGTGAGCAGTCAGCCCACAGACTAGAGACACATAACGAGTGCAGTGGCTGGCAACACTAAGACAGCTAAGCAGCTATAGTATTATGTTTATAGGGAAGTATTAACATCAGTTCCCTTGTCTTTTAACAATATGTCATTTCCCCCCTATAATCTACCTTGTCCATAATTACTATCACATTTGCTTTGACTGCTTTCGTAAGGTGAAGTCCAGGATCTTTCCTTAATTCATGGTTATAACTTAACAAATCTTTGAGGACAACTGTGTTGCAGAGAAGCTCAGACCTCTGCAACACAGCTACCAACGTCAACTACCCAATGACTAACAGCTACCAACGCCACCCAGTGAATGATAGCTGATTCATAACGAATTGCAGTTAGTTACATAATATATATTTCTTGGTCAAGGCTGAGAGCTGGTCAGCAGTCAGTGTGTCAGCGAAAGGTCAGCAGTAGCAGTCACTGTAATCAAGGTAAAGCGAACAGAAATTAAGGTACGAGTTACTTAAGAACTTAATGGAGTTATATAAACCCCAGAATATATATAGTGAGAAGTATGTGTATATACATACAGACGTGCTTGTCTGGTGGTGAACAGGTTGTGTATAGCATTAATGAGCCTAGTGTAGCAAATAGGCTTGATCATTATCATAACGAAGTGCTAAACTCTCAAGGGCCATACAGTGCTATGAAAGGCTTGAAAAAACATTAGCTTGGCCAGTCATTATTCAAAGTAACTGAAATTAGAGGAAAATTACGTTGTCAGTGTATGTTGCCCTTCCTCCCACCTCCTAGAACGTGGGTATATATTTGTTTTTCCCCGAGTGTCAGTGTATATTATGTAAACTAAAAGCTAAACCCATAAGGGTCATATAGCACTGCGTATATTTCCTCAACACCCAGATATGGCTGTTCTCAGTGTCATAAGGCTAGTTATTGTGGTATAAACTTTAGTACACTAATTATGGTAAAAGGGCTCGTTCCTGGTTGCTAGTGAGGGGCTCTTGATCCAGGGTATTGGACTTATCCTTCTTATCATTCGATCGAACTTGAATGCCTTCCATACCCCATTTTGTGTGTGGCCCCCTTATGGTTTTAGTGTTTCCCATAAACACTAATAAAAGTACTACAAGAGTTGGGGCTCTTCATCCTTGATTGGTTTCTACAATACATTAAACTATTATATTCTACTATTCAGAAAGAGCTAAACCTCTATGGGTCATATAGCTAGAGAGATGATTTCAGCATAGTTGTGAATATTGCTGATGGTTCCCAAGATCTTCAGTTTGAGCCTCGGGTACTTCACACTGGTGCTTGTGGCTCAGTGGTATTATAATCATGGGGAAGTGCTAAACCCGTAGGATTATACAGTGCTTGTGAAGGGGGGGGATGGAAGGTATTCAGGCTTATTTCAGGGAACTGGAGTACAGATCCAATTCCCTAGCTGAAGACCCCTCGCCAGCGTCAAGGAACCTCCCTTGAGTGGGGCTCAATGGTAGCACTTTCTACTCAACCTGGGCACGGAAGATTTATTTTAGAGCACTAAATCTGTAGGGGTTGGTAGATCATCATAATAATAATCAAGGGGGAAGCACTAAACCCATAGGATTATACAGTGCTTGGGGGAGGGATGGAAGGTATTCAGGCTTAATTCAGGGAACTGGAGCACAGATCCAGTTCCCTAGATCAAGAGCCCCTCACCAGCATCAAGGAACCTTCCTTGAGGGGAGGGGTTGGTAGAGCATCTTTGGGAATGGAAGGGAATAAAGTTTGTCCAAGGAATGGGAGGGTAACTCAAATTCTTTGGATCAAGAGCTCTTCAATATTTAATGGCTGATGCATCTTAGGGCCAGGATAGTACCTATGTTTTGTTTGCATGCAGGCAAATTTGTTGTAAATCTTTGCTGTAACTGGAGAATGACTTCTGATCAGCTTCAAAATTTTCACCACTGGTGAAAAGTTGTAATAATACTTCTTTCCATGTGATAATTTCTGGGAGTGGCATCTAATTAGCTTGAAGCCTTCCATGATCATAAACTTGTAATGTGACGATGCAGCCTCTGAGCAGCTTCAACTTTAATGTGTTTTGTATGTTAGAATATGTTTCTCGTCTCTGAATGATCTAAATTAGATTTGGAGTGCATATTTTAATTTATAAATTTTCTTAAAGAAATTTGAAATTAGTTTCCATATGATTTGTGAATGCCTCTTCTGCTTCACCTCTAATCTTGAACACTAATATTTATCTTCACTATCAAACTTATGCTGCACTCTGCAGCATTGCATACATTGAAGGACTGATATTATGGAATACAGGGATACGTTCCTCAGATCATGCAGTGACCTATATACATCTTGTTGAATTTAATAATTTAACAGATAGGGGGTCACTAGCACTTGCTCCTGGCATTTTAGTCTCCTGTTAAGACACTCGTGACAGTTTGGAAGGCGTCTGAGTTGTAATGTTGGCATGCCTTTGGCAAGACAGTGATAGTGAATAATGATGAAAGTGTTTCTTCTTTTTTGGGTCACCTTACTTCAGTGGGAGATGGCAGAGGCATTAAAAAACTATAGCTTTGAATGAATCAAAAGTTCTATAGCTTATTGAAATTATCCTAAAATATCAATTTGTATAGAAATCCATATTTGCATGAACAAATGAAGTTTGTAATGTAAATATAAAATAATTTAATTTGCAAATTTTTTTCATCTTCAGAAAAATGGTGGTTGCCATAGTAACTCTCACTAGCTTTCTGACGTTATGGATCAAGTGTGAAACCTTTGTAGTTCCCAAAAGTGACAGAGGTATAACAGTCCTTTACAGCACCAATTGTGACATCACTAACGAGCCTATCATACCAGAGAGCAAGAAGCAAAATAGTTTACAGAGCCAAGAACATTCAGAGTTGTATGCAAGAACTGAAGCCAAGGTATATGCCATCACTACAACAATAGTACCACATTGCCTACAATGCTTTAGTGAAAAGGAAGGTATATCTGAACACACAATCAGTAATTCAAAACCACTGCTAACTAATTCATCAAACACTGAAGAACCATTTACCAAGTTGCAGCAGAAATGCAAACAAAATACTCAGTGCAGAGATGAACTTAAAGAACAGTATGCAAGTGATCACAAACACAATTCTTTTACTATAACAAATATAGCCAAAGGCCAGCATGTAGGAGACAAATATGTTAGATCACAATTTATCTCAGAAAGTCAACCTAATATGGTCACTAAACAGGCAGTACATAATAAAGATAAAGTATACACGTATAGCTCCCATGATTTTTTCTCTGGTAGTCATGACAACATTGAAAGAAGGGAGGCCAGTTTTCTAGGTCAAAGACAAACCAAGAATGATGCACGCCTTGCTGAAACCCTCGCTGGCAGAGATAAAAGAAACACAAGATTAGGCAAGGAAAAGCAACTTTCTGATAATCAACAAGACAATGAAGCGCATGAACATCCAGAAATTTTTGTTGCAAGAAGTGATATGGATCATCACAAGAAATTTAACGTTCTTGGCGTACTGTATTCTCTAGTGTCGTATGCTGCAAATGATGAGTATGAGCAAATTAGATTGGTAGAAGACATGAATTGGCCTAACAGTAATATAGAGCTTAACAATTACAGAAAGGCTGATGTACTTGGCACACTGTATTCTTTAGTGTCATATGTAGCAAATCAAAAATTTGAACACAATGATGAAGTTAAATTACATGATACAGGGTATTTTGAGGAACAAAACACGGAGAAACAAATGAAACAGGACGTTCCAACTAATTCACTGAACCTAATCTCTCTCACCAGCCAGTCTGAAAATGCTAAAGTTGTTCGTCAGACAGAACAACTTGCTGACAATAAGATGAATGATAAAACAAGTTCGCCTCTAAATGAAAATGAAGGGTCTGGTGTAATTACAGCATTCAGTGGTTATTTAAACAGTTACGGCTGGAGAGGTTATTTGATATTATCTGCCTCAATTGTAATATTCTTGACATTACTATTATTCTCTGCAAGTTGTCTAGCAAGAGCCTATAGTCGGCAAACAAACTGGAAGCAATTAACAATGTTTAAGACCTCAAAACATCCTGCACCCCTGTAGCTGTATAAAGCATAATTTTAATATAAAATTATTGCAAAATATAATTAGTGAACAATTAATGTAGGCTTCCTAAGTCAACTGTGCATTGATAGAACAATTAAATTACCTGTGCATGAAAGTATGTACAGCATACATTGTTTAATAACAGAATAAAATAGTCATTTTCTTAAATATTCTTGGATACATTTGTGAATTATCATAAACATTATGATTTGGGGTGAACCTTTCAAAGGTTTAAATCTCTTATTAGGATTTGTGTGAATAAAAAAAAGTTACTTTTACCTGTTTAATTACATATTCCCCTAAAAAGTAAGATAACTTGGTAGACAATACATCACACTGTATACTATGTTATACAAGAATGTTATCTTTCATTAACAGTACAAATTCTTAAAACTTCAATGATGTTTTCAGGTATCCTAACTTTCTGAATAATTTTTGTTTAGTACCTAACATAGTACTTTTGGTACAGGTACAACACAGATTTTACTGAACCCTTAATTCCTAGGTTTGCAGGTATATCTATTTTGCTGGACCAACAGAAGTCTTATAAAAATAATTCACCAATACAATTCTGACCCACCATAGTCTATTGGAAACGTGAATTAAACATGAAAACATGAAAATGATTTACATGTATTTATTAGTCGGTGCTGGTTATAGTTATAATATCACTCAAAGAATATTGCAGAACTACCACTATGATAAATTGTAGAATTGTACTGGAACTGTAGAGCTAATAGTCATTTCTTAGCAAAATATGCTATGAACTGCATAAAATAATCACCACCAACTACAATGTAAACAATAAAAGTGAGTGTGCACACTGCATATACCAACTGTGGCAGCCCAGTCAACTATTTTGGTGAATGTGTTGTAATTTTGTCTTGACTAAAAGTGTCAGACCATCTGTTACCTGTATTTAATGTTGATCAGTTAGTAAACAGCAGCTGTACAATAGTTTGACATTTTATCAGCATGAGATAACACATCAAAACTGTTTTAGCATTTCTGTCAATGTCTGTGAGGATGAGAAATGTCAGTATGGAGAAAGGCCATTTTTCCCTAACTGAAATAGTACAGTAATAGTGGTTTATTTATTTTTCTAGTATAGATGAGCAAGGAGGTTTCAGAGTGGGTAGGGGATGTGTAGATCAAGTGTTTACATTGAAGCATATGTGTGAACAGTATTTAGATAAAGGTAGGGAAGTTTTTATTGCATTTATGGATTTAGAAAAGGCATATGATAGAGTGGATAGAGGAGCAATGTGGCAGATGTTGCAAGTGTATGGAATAGGTGGTAAGTTATTAAATGCTGTAAAGAGTTTTTATGAGGATAGTGAGGCTCAGGTTAGGGTGTGTAGAAGAGAGGGAGACTACTTCCCGGTAAAAGTAGGTCTTAGACAGGGATGTGTAATGTCACCATGGTTGTTTAACCCTTTGACTGTCGCAACCCCAAATCCTGAGGTGTCTCCTGGTGTCGCAAAATTTAAAAAAAAAAAAAAATTATTTTTTCTTATGAAATGATAGAGAATCTTTTCCCGATTGTAAAGACACCAAAAAAAACGAAATTTGATGGAAAACTGACGGAATTACGCTCTCGCGAAGTTAGCGACTTCGGCGATATTTAAAAATCGGCAATTTCGCCCACTTTGAGCCCTATTTTCGGCTAATTCCGTTATTCCAGTCAACCAAACTCATAACTATTTCTTCAGAACTCTATTTTTTCTATCGATTGAGTACAAGAAACTGCCTATTTACCGATTTCAACTACCCAATAACATGGTCAGAAATTTGCAATTTGGCCAATTTCACGAAAATTAAAAAATACGACAATTTCAAAATAAGGTCCAGAATGAACAATGCAGACATTCCTGGCTCTAAAATAACATTTTCTTTGTTCATCAGTCATGTCTCCAGGTCCCTGTGATATTACTCTTGCTTTTTATTTTGAAATTTTATTCAAACAAAAAATAGAAGATTTACTGTTATGCAGACTACTGCAATACTGTAATAATTGTAAAAATTACATCAACCCATTCATGACTGCGTATTAAAATGGCTATTTGGACATTTATTGGACAATGACATCATTTGTTTACTTTTGAACATCGGCAAAAATCAAACATTTCCTGTACTTTGTGCTCCATTTCCAGGTTCTTTTTATAGTAAAATTAATCAAAATCACCTCCATTTCTATAATATAGTTTCCATTCTATCAAATGAGACCAAGAAAACGAGAATACAACCACAAATACTATACGAAAATAGACCACAAAGTCGACATTTTAATTAAAAAAAAAACGGTCGGAGTTTTTTTTTTTCTCATTATGCACTGCGTGCTCCAGGATTTTTTTTATGTGGTGCACACTGACCACACAGACCCATTCTCTCACATGTGGGCCTACTAGCTTTCTCCTGCCTGATTTGAAGCCGCTAGAATTTATGAGTATATATACGTCAAACACGGTACCTCGCAAACGTATATATACGGCCGCGACAGTCAAAGGGTTAATATATTTATAGATGGGGTTGTAAAGGAAGTAAATGCTAGGGTGTTCGGGAGAGGGGTGGGATTAAATTTTGGGGAATCAAATTCAAAATGGGAATTGACAGTTACTTTTTGCTGATGATACTGTGCTTATGGGAGATTCTAAAGAAAAATTGCAAAGGTTAGTGGATGAGTTTGGGAATGTGTGTAAAGGTAGAAAGTTGAAAGTGAACACAGAAAAGAGTAAGGTGATGAGGGTATCAAATGATTTAGATAAAGAAAAATTGGATATCAAATTGGGGAGGAGGAGTATGGAAGAAGTGAATGTTTTCAGATACTTGGGAGTTGACGTATCGGCAGATGGATTTATGAAGGATGAGGTTAATCATAGAATTGATGAGGGAAAAAAGGTGAGTGGTGCGTTGAGGTATATGTGGAGTCAAAAAACGTTATCTATGGAGGCAAAGAAGGGAATGTATGAAAGTATAGTAGTACCAACACTCTTATATGGGTGTGAAGCTTGGGTGGTAAATGCAGCAGTGAGGAGACGGTTGGAGGCAGTGGAGATGTCCTGTTTAAGGGCAATGTGTGGTGTAAATATTATGCAGAAAATTTGGAGCGTGGAAATTAGGAAAAGGTGTGGAGTTAATAAAAGTATTAGTCAGAGGGCAGAAGAGGGGTTGTTGAGGTGGTTTGGTCATTTAGAGAGAGTGGATCAAAGTAGAATGAAATGGAAAGCATATAAATCTATAGGGGAAGGAAGGCGGGGTAGGGGTCGTCCTCGAAAGGGTTGGAGAGAGGGGGTAAAGGAGGTTTTGTGGGCAAGGGGCTTAGACTTCCAGCAAGCGTGCGTGAGCGTGTTAGATAGGAGTGAATGGAGACGAATGGTACTTGGGACCTGACGATCTGTTGGAGTGTGAGCAGGGTAATATTTAGTGAAGGGATTCAGGGAAACCGGTTATTTTCATATAGTTGGACTTGAGTCCTGGAAATGGGAACTACAGTGCCTGCACTTTAAAGGAGGGGTTTGGGATATTGGCAGTTTGGATGGATATGTTGTGTATCTTTATATGTGTATGCTTCTAAACTGTTGTATTCTGAGCACCTCTGCAAAAACAGTGATAATGTGCGAGTGTGGTGAAAGTGTTGAATGATGATGAGAGTATTTTCTTTTTGGGGATTTTCTTTCTTTTTTTGGGTCACCCTGCCTCGGTGGGAGACGGCCGACTTGTTGAAAAAAAAAAAAGTTATAAAAAGACAGAGTAAAATTTATGCTAAAGTTGGAAAACATGATCCAATAAATTCAAGATAAAATACTCAAAACAGGTCTGTAATGTAGAGAAAGAAAAAAATGGTCGAGTCAAAGGTAATATTACAGAAAACTCTTGAGCACGCTTTCCGTTTTAAGAGTATAGTTTTCTTGTTAAATCCCATCACTATCCTTTTAGTTATCAAGCTGGGAATTCAAAGGTCTTGCAGTTACTACGAGTCCTCGTTCCCATAGCCCACTGGCGACGGCCATCTGCAAAAATAATTCAGACGATTTAATTTGGGAAGACAACTTTAAATAATCATCTATTTACAAAACCAATGTGCTTTAAGTAATAAAACAAAATAACTTTACACAAGCTGTAAATGTAACATGCAAAAAAACTCAATAGCTGTTAAAGGATTACCTTTGCAATTTCATCACTCAGAGGAAGGCTCTCGATGGTTAAATATTCAGGATAAGCATGAATCAAGGCCTCAACAGCAGGTGCATTCTCTGGGATGAGCTCAATGTACTGAGGTTCCTCCTGATGATATTCTCTAGTATTTTCTAAACAATGATAAACTTTGACACATTCTTCCTCAGGAACCACTCTGTGAACACAAAAGTTTTATTGTAATTAGATTAAATTTTGGGGGGGAGGGGTATAAATAATTTACCTAAAAGCAGCAGCCTCCCTTCCCCTAAAATGTAGACATCATCCTAATAGAGATACTTATTAACCATCTCTAAAATTATTGTTTCTGACCCCCTGTAAACAATTTTATTTATTGAATGGTTTACTTTGGATCATATTTTTACACAGGTACCTCTGAAGACTTATTTGTGTATGAAAACTGTTACAGAGAAACAGAATTTTCAAAGCTCTGGAAATTCTATAACACATTAAATATATGAAGAAATTTAAGCTAAACATGCATTTAAAGTCAAAGTTAAAACTTAATTACAAAAGTTCCTAAAACTGCACATTAGATGTGAAAAATTTTTCACATTAGATAGGAAAAATTAAATAATTATGATCATTTGTTCCCAAGTGTAATTTAAAGTTTAATTGAAAAGAACCTCTAAGAGAAGGGGGCTCCTTGTCATGGTAAAGAGGCTTTTGGTCTGAGGAATTGAACCTTTGGGGTCTTTTTCCTCCAATTGAACCTAATTACCCCCCTTCCCTGTCCCATCCTTCCTATCCCTCCTTTCTCATCCCTCTCCTTCCCTACTTTTGACATCTGGAGTATTCCCCTCAGACATTCTAGCTCCTAGGTTGGGAAAGGGTGTTGATGTCCATCCCATTCCACTGAGGTCCCTGGTAGTGGTGTAGTTTGCTGAAGAATCTGTATCATCTGAGGGATGTCTCAATCCCCTTCCAGCATCCTGGGGGAAATGGGCTACACTGTCTTTCAAGTGACTGGTGTATCTCTGAAAACTGTCTGCTGGATTCCAGGTGGTGATGGCTGAAGGAGATATGCCTGGAAGGGGATTTCCAACTACCCTCTCTTTTGTCTGCCGAGGTGACTTGGTGGATGCGAGGTTGCTATCCTGGATTTTCGGTTTACTGACATGAAAGGTAGGGTATATCATGGGTTTCTTGCTGCATCTGCACTACTGGCCCTCTTGGGTGCAGAGGGGGACATACAGCCCTTTCATGTCTCCTAGGAGCTACTCCTCCACATTCACCCCCTCCTTTTTTTTTTTTCTTTAAAAATAAAAAAAACAAGAGAAACCTTATGGTGAACTATGACCTCCCTCCTCCCAGACCTTTTTCTGAGGCACCCACTAAAGACCCTGGTTAATCTTTGGACCATTCGTCAGACCTCTCTTCCAACCTGATAGCTTCTTCGGCTAATATTCTGTAACCCACCTATGGTACTGTAGTTTTGACTGACCCTATGGACGCCTCTGACTGCCATGCAGCTTTGACTGTGAACCCGGCTTCTCCACATACAGTGCGTTGATTTTCATATTGTACTAACAACTTGGGATGGCCCACCTCTAAACCACCATCCAAATGACCTCGCCCTGTCACTGATGTACCTACCTAAGTTTTCTCTCACACTAATAAACAAACAACTAAGCAATCCCTTCCCTTACACTGTTTCAGAGTCGTCCTTGGATAAAACTCTTTACGCTACAACCAACTTCTACTACTATCTTTCCGACCATAGCACCAGCAAGGCACTCCTTCGCATACTTGGGCAGAACATTTCCTTCCATGCACTTTTAAGAGTAGCACATGAGTTGTCACAGTACAAAATGCAAAGCAGGCACATATTTCATTTCTTGACACTGCTGACACATTTCTCTTAATTCTTGCTTTGGAGCTATTACCCTTCTACACAAGATCATACAACACTACTTTCTCGCATAATGATGACATTCTGGAGCAATTTGAGCTCCAGAATCTCCCAATCATTAAAGTTCATATACTTACACACTCCCTGCCTGTGGACAGAGGTGCTATCCATGCAATATAGCAAGGCTAACTTTTGACAGCCATGAACTGCCATCTGTGTACATAGTGAGACAATGCCTACAAGTGCAGGTGGTGATGCCTACCCCACAACAATGTAGAAACTGGTGGCACTTTGGCCACCCGGCAAAATATTGCAGGTTAGTGGCAGTATGCCCTATGTTGCAGCCAATCATAGCAGTCCATCCTGCAGCCACCCTCCCTCTTGTCTTAACTGCAAAGAGGCACACCCAGCCTATTCTTGCCATTGCCCGATTCTCTTGAGAGAGAGAGATCCATTGTCTTAGAAAGGGCTTCTCTTATGCCATGGCAGTCTCCCATCTCTGCCTCCATGGGAGACTTCCATGGCTCTCTTATTCCAGGGTTGCTAGATGGCCCCAGACCTCAGTAGTGCCTACCGACACAATTGCTCTGTATCCCTTACTTCCACGGTTGCCTCCATTCCCAACCCGTATTGCATCAATGCCTATCTCAACATTTGTGGTAGTCCGATTTCTTTATTATCATTATAATCAAAGAAGGCGCTAAACCAACAAGAGTACCAACTCCTTTAGTGCTTTGCAAGCTATCAAAAAATATAGTTCGCCTCATACCCTGGTTCTTCGTATATGACTTTGGTTGCACCACATCTCTAGCAAAAGCAAAGAAATAATTGTCTGCTGGGTCCCTGTCATGTTGGTGTTCAGGGCAACAGGCAGGCAGACTCTGCTGCATGGTCAGCAGTACATGACATTCCAGTTTCCTATAGAGGTATTCCATTCTTAGACTATTTTGCTGTAATCTTTAACCACCACCTCAACCATTGGCAACATCATTGGTCTGAGATGAATCATAACAAATTACATTCCATCAAGCCAAATTTAGGATCCTGGCCTTCTTATTGATGTCATGGCTAGGAAACTATGCTTGCCTGTCTTCGTTTTGGGCACACGTGTCTCACTCGTGGGTATCTATCTCTTGGAGAGGCACCCAGTGCCACTCGGTGCAAATTGTCAAGTTCCAATTTCAGTTTGCCGCATTCTATTAGACCGTTCTGTCAGTGAGCATGCAGAATTTACCTCTGACGTCATCACCGCTCTAACACCCTTAACTTTATCTTCACTCCTCGCTGACGGCTCCACCTTTGAGACAGACTCGCTCTGACTTCTTGACAGTAACAGATTTATTGCACAACCTTTGATTGCACTTCCTTTGTTTTCCTCGCAAACTCTACCTTTGTTATACTCCCTACCCTGCAGGGTTCAGCACTTGGTTTTGATTATAACAACTGAGAAGAACAGTTATTTAAATCTGATACTTATGCACTTCTCCACAGTGCTGTATGGCCCATTTTGGGTTTAGTGCTTAAACTGATTGAAATAATATGCAATTCTAAAATGCTTTAATTGTTCAAAAACATCATAAATGTCACATTTCTTACAAGTATAATTTGAATAGTAAAATCACTTAGTATTCTGAGGGCTCTTAGCAAAGGTGACTTCTTTCTCATGCTAAGTTATCACTGCAGCAAAATTTTGCAATCAAAATTTAACGAGCCAAGCTAACACTGTATCCAAAGTGAGTATTACAATATTAATATACAGTATCTAAAACTTTTCATGTTAACAAAACATACAAAGAGAAAACAGCAGAAATTAAACTGACCATAACTTCTGCTACTTTTTCTTGGGATGTTACAGGCAAGTATTTTAACACTCAAGGAATGTTGGTCCAAGGAAGAGGACTTCTCATCCCATTCCCCAGAAGCTGACGGCTGAATGCTCCCCCCACTACCTGATGAAAATATAAATAAATAAGACTGCCTTTGACACTCACCTTAAACAGTTTCTTCTAAGGAGCCTGATGGGAGTATCTGGCTTCAGTTCTACACTATTGATTACCTTCATTTTCTTTTCGCACCACCGCTCGCCTCCACCATAAGCACTACAGATCCTGTCTTCTGTAAAGCAGAAAGTTAAAATTTAATTCCTTGGATCAAGGTCCTTTATCAAGGCAACCCCCCTGAAGGGTAACTGCTCTGCTAAATTACCTTGACACCTCAGAAGACAAACATGCCAGTAAAACTCAAAACACAAACGTCAAAGGATGGAGCAAGAAACTACAACAGTCATACTACTCTCGCTACACACAACACACAGCCCAGTAAACACTCGATAATACAGACTAATAGGAAGCATTGTCCAAGTGGCCATTTCAATAAGAATAATGTTAAAAAAAAAAGAGCAAAAATACACTTAAGTTCTCAAATGTATTCCTAATATTTTACTGCACATTCAATTTACAGTTATACTACAATAAACAGTGAAAATAATGGAGTTAAAAGTACCATTTAACCAATGGATTTTGACCATAATTTTAAAAATACATTACATCAAGGATTTACTAGATACGTGTTGGAGTGTGAGCCGGTTAGTATTTTGTGAAGGGATTCAGGGGAACCGATTAGCTGGACTCGAGTCCTGGAAGTGGGGAGTACAATGCCTGCACTTTAACCCTTAAACTGTCCAAATGTAGATCTACATTATATTTTACATGCTTTCAACCTTGACACGAGAGGCCTGAGTTCCTAGACATGAGAGAATGGATCTGTGCACTCAGTGTGTGCAGTATGACAAAATTCAGGGATGCCAGGAAAAATGCACTCTTCATTAAAAAAAAAAAAAAAAAAAAATCAGAGCACTATGCAAGTGAACGTAGATTTACGTTTGGACAGTTTAACCCTTTCAGGGTCTGTCCCGTAGATCTACGGCTTTACGTTGAGTGTCCAAACCGTAGATCTACGCCAAAATTCTAGCGCCGTCAAATTTAGCGCAAAAGCGCTCATAGGCCTACATGTGAGAGAATGGGTCTGCGCGGTGGGTGTGCGCCATAAACAAAAAATCTAGGCGCCTGCATAGCATTGTGGGAACACCGGCTCAGTCACCCTTGTTCACCATGCCTCGTCGCAAGTCAGCTCTCACTCCCCGGAAAATTGGGACTCTCCTCTTCCTATCTGACAGTTCTGACACTGATGGAAGTGGAAATGAAGACGAATTCTACGGCTTTGATCAGTTAGTGACCGGAAAGAATGACCAGGATATCGATAATGGTGCAGAAAACCCTGACAATCCTCAACCTTCTACCTCTGGTGTGGGCACTCGTGACTCACGGTCGGTTGTTCCTCAACGCAAGAGAAAACTAATATTTTCGTGTGGCCAGGCCTCTGACTTCAGTAATGACGATGATAGTGACGTGGATTGTGATTTTATTGCGCTCGACGATCATTCGAGTAGTGATAGTGAGGAATCATATTCACCAGTGAAGCGTCGGTATGTTTGCCGCCGCATGCGCTCGGGTAGTGTACCCTATGCTGTGCCCAGGGGACGGAGTACATCCCGTGGCCCTACACCAGTTTTAGGTAGTGATAGTGAGGATGATGTGGCTACACTTGGCATGGATAGACCACAGGCATCAGTGGATGGTGTTAGTGGTGATGGTAGTGGCACCGCCATGCGTGACTCACCAGGCCACGCTGGGACCCATGCTGCCGACTCGTCAGTTCAAGGACAAAGCGGAGCGTCAGCCACCAGCCCACCACAACCACCCGCACAACCAGCCTATGATGTCCAGTATCCACCAGCAAACCGTATGTGGGATTGGCAGCAAAATCCCAATTTTGTTCCCAAGCCTCACCACTTTGATGACTCTCAAAGTGGAATTCTACCTACTTGTCCCCTTGGGACCACGGCCAATGAACTGGAATTCTTTGAATTATTCTTTGACCAGCCATTGATGGAAATTATTGTCAGGGAAAGTAATAAGTATTTTGAGTACACCATGGCAAATACGATCTTATCACCACAGTCAAGACTACACAGGTGGAAAGAGACGACTGTTGCAGAAATGTATTTGCTTTTTGCAACAATAATGCTTATGCCTCACGTCTATAAGCACAATATAAAAGCATACTGGTCCACAGATCGGCTAATTTCTACCCCAGTCTTCAGTGAAATCATACCAGTGAACAGGTTTATCTTACTCTTACGTATGTTGCACTTCTCTGACAAAACCAGGCCTGACAGAAGTGACAGGTTATACAAGATTAGAAATGTTTTCATGTATCTCAAACAAAAGTTCAGCATATACTTTTATCCATTCAAGAATCTTGTAATTGACGAGTCTTTGATTTTGTTCAAAGGTAGACTGTCATTCAAGCAGTATATACCGAGCAAGAGGAAACGCTTTGGTATAAAACTGTTTGTACTCTGTGATTGTGACAGTGGCCTGGTGTTGGATATTGTTGTATACACGGGTAGTAAAACATTGAAAGATACCAAGATGTTATTGGGTATCTCAGGTGAAGTAGTGAGAAACATGATGGCACCTTATCTTGGTAAGGGGCATACATTATATACCGATAACTGGTACACAAGCCCATTACTCAGTGATTTCATGCGAGTGAACAAGACAGATGTGTGTGGCACAGTGCGTTCTAATCGTAAACATATGCCCAGGCTCAACGCAGGTGCTCGTGATGATGACGTGCAGGTGTTTTTCTGCCAATGACATCATGGCATTACGGTGGCATGACAAACGAGATGTCACATTGTTGACAACCATTCACCGTAAGGAAATGCAAGACAGTGGCAAAGTTGATCGAGTGACTAATGAACATATTCGAAAACCAGTGACAGTGATTGATTATACACAAAACATGCGCTTGGTTGACAAGTGTGACATGCAGATTGGTTTTGTTGACTGTGTTCGTAAGAGTTACAAGTGGTACATGAAACTTTTCTTCCATCTCATGGACATTTCAATGCTCAATGCATATAATATGTGCCAAATAAAGACTGGCAACAGACCACCGTATGGTGAATTTTGTTTGTCTGTTGTCAGACAACTCATAATGAAGTACCAGGTAAGAACACCTGCTATACAACACGGTCCTCGAATTCCTCAGGATATACCCAAGCGTTTGAGGAAGGAAGGTGATCATTTCATAATACAACTTCCTTCAACTCAGAAGAAATTTGCTCAGAAGAGATGCATTGTCTGTGCACAAACAAAACGACGGCAACAAAGACGCAAAGACACTCGGTTTATGTGTGAGGAATGTAAGGTGCCTCTGTGCATGGTGCCTTGTTTCAAGGAGTTCCACAAGCTCCAGCAGTTCTAAAACCATGTCCAGTGATTGTAAATATGTAAATATATGATAGATTGTAATAAACAACAGTGGTAAACAATAATATGATAATAACTTTAGTGCGGTTATTGTGTTCAATACAGTGAGTTTATATATATACATTATATACAGTATTGGTCTCTCAGGCCCCAAATGTTAGTAGGAATAGAAAAAAATTGGAAAAGAAAAGAAAAAACAACTAAAACCGCAAAATAATGTAATGCGCGTATGTGGAATTCGTCGATGTTGCCGCCACCACATCATTTTTGACAAACTTCTTGGCACTGTATCTCGGTAAGTACTGATCAGATTTTTTTTTGTCTTATTACCTTCACAAAAATATGCTCTTTAATTCTGTAAGAAAAAATAATTTTTTTTTTTTTCAAAATTTCTTGGACACTTCAGATTTTGGCCTTGGACCCTGAAGGGGTTAAGGGTTAAAGAAGGGGTCTGGGATATTGGCTGTTTGGAGTGAAGTCTAAACTTTTGTACTTGAGCACCTCTGCAAAGACAGTGATTATGTATGAATGATGAAGGTGTTGAATAATGAAAGTTTTTTTCATTTTGGGTCACCCTGCCTCAGTGGGAGGATGCTGGTGAAGGACTCTTGATCCAATGACTTGGAGCTACCCTCCCCTTCTTGGATCAAACCTGACTGCCTCCCAATCTCCAGGTGCTGTATGACCCCTATGGGTTTAGCACTTCCTCATGAATAATAATTTTTACTACAGCCCCCATTGTCTACAATACTGTACAGTGTACATACAACTAACACTCATAGAATACAGTATTTTTCATTGTTCTTAACATCTGTGGCATCAAACAAAATACTGTACTTGCAAGTGATACCTGTTGTCTGCTTGGCTCATGAAGGTGGAATTAAACCTAATTATATTGATGAAGTACTAAACCCATAGGGGTCATACAGTACCTAGGGAATTGGGAGGCATTCAGGATCGATTCAAGGAAGCAAAGGGCCAATTCCTTAGATAAGAGCCCCTCACTAGCATGAAGGAACTTCCCAGAGGGGCTTGGAATTAAACAGTCTGTCAGGTTACTCTCACCCAGGAAACTATCAGCAACGGTAACTGCAATACTCTCGGAGCTCCCTAAACAGATAAACTGGCCAATAAATTCAGCAGAGAATTTTTTTTATTATTATTTTTAGCACACTGGCCGATTCCCACCAAGGCAGGGTGGCCCGAAAAAGAAAAACTCTCACCATTGCTCACTCCATCACTGTCTTGCCAGAAGGGTGCTTTACACTACAGTTTTTAAACTGCAACATTAACACCCCTCCTTCAGAGTGCAGGCACTGTACTTCCCATCTCCAGGACTCGAGTCCGGCCTGCCGGTTTCCCTGAATCCCTTCATAAATGTTACTTTGCTCACACTCCAACAGCACGTCAAGTATTAAAAACCATTTATCTCCATTCACTCCTATCAAACACGCTCACGCATGCCCGCTGGAAGTCCAAGCCCCTCACATACAAAACCTCCTTTACCCCCTCCCTCCAACCTTTCCTAGGTCGACCCCTGCCCCACCTTCCTTCCACTACAGACTGATACACTCTTGAAGTCATTCTGTTTCGCTCCATTCTCTCTACATGTCCAAACCACCTCAACAACCCTTCCTCAGCCCTCTGGACAACAGTTTTGGCAATCCGGCACCTCCTCCTAACTTCCAAACTACAAATTCTCTGCATTATATTCACACCACACATTGCCCTCAGACATGACATCTCCACTGCCTCCAGCCTTCTCCTCGCTGCAAC